AACAATATTTTTACTCCATAAGGCATTATAACTCATAAAAAATAGGAAAGCTGACACTGCTTAATTTTTATTAAAGAAAAAATTATACTTTTAACCTTTTGTCCAAAGTTGACGAAATAAATAAATAAATTTAAGAAAACAAAACTGTATTCTAATATGTACTAGTCTACGTTGGTTGACGAAATAAAATAAATAAATAAATAAAAACAAAATAAGTGCTCCGGCCGAATCAATTTCTATCTTCATCCGATAGGCCGAAGTGAATTCATTGGCGTTTCAATGGCGTTTCAATGGCGTTTCAATGCTTTAGACCGAGTTTAGAATCCGTAGGCCGAGTTTGGCGTCAAGAAGCAGTGTTACACTTTTGGCAATATCTCAACGATTGGTTTCTCTTTATCAAATCTTACGGTACATACGGAAAGGTAAATAAATTTGGAAGCCATCAGTAATAATAACATTCCGTTTGGTGCTAAGCTACGCTAGATTAAGAAATACTAAGTGCGGGTTGTGCTTAACAGGCCTGAAATGGGGTAGTTAACCCTACTTAATATATGTACATATAAAACCATGCGTGACCGACCACACATACTATTCATTTGCGTATAAATTTCATGTGTACTTCTGAGTGGATTCTGTTTATGTGTGGTCAAATGAAAATCATGTGGAATTTCACATGGATATTTGTCAAGAAAAATGTGTAAATTGTTTTGAGTCAACCATAACCGAAACATTGTAATACTTGAAAATTTTAAGATAAGGTATAATAGTCAAAAATGCATGAAAAACATCCATTTTGTGTGGTTCTACGTCATACTGCGGTCGTGTCTAGGACACAACCCTTTAATTTTATTTTTTATTTTTTGTTTTCTATTTCACTGATCATCCTTCGGAAGGGAAGTAAAGCCGTTGATGGGTCGATGTGTACACAGCAAAAAAATGTACTATCGATCGATGTAATTCAAGCTGATGTATGAAATAATGATGTAATAGCAAAAAGCAGATACAATATTACATCAATGGATGTAATTTTGTTCGCAAAATCGATGTACATCGTACAACCGATGGATTGACCTGGTTGCAGCAGTTTGGATGTAATATTCAACAACTTTTTTTTCTGTGTAGGGTCCAGGTGTGGGAGCTGTCTTCCTGGCGTCGGGAGCATTAGTACTCAGTACGGAAAACAAGATCGACGGAAAAAAAATCAAGGAAAAAAAACAGAAAATTGATTATATTTACAGAGAAAAAAAAATTATCCCAAATTTAAGTTCTATTTACTTAATTTAAGGTAATTTTGAGTTTTGTATCCCACTCTCACTTTTTGTTGTTGTCAAAAACGGAACGAAAGATTCGACTTTCTCATGACTATCGTTCAATAAGCTACTAGTGAGTATATCAAGAGACACATGTGAAAAGGGCATACAAGCTTTTTGTAAACAAACCTTTGTAGCCCCTTTTCTCGCCAACCGAGGGTCGCTCACGCAAACCAACAACATCATCGGGAAGAGGAAAGCTTCCCCTATCCGCTAATGTTAATGATTTGCGTTGGTGTCATATGGGTGGCAAGAAAATGGCATAAGAAGGTTTGTTTACAAAAAGCTTGTATGCCCTTTTCACTTGTTGTTCTTGATATGAGATATTCTCAAATTTGAGTCAATTGAACTGAATTTTGGGTAGAAAATACTCACGGTTTTCGGAAATTTTGCACTTATTTCCTGAAATTCGCAAGTTTTGTTATTGTTTACATTTTTGAGCCGGGTGAAAACGATGAAATGGTTGGTAGTTATTTTAGCATTCATGACCCGGGGAATGGACACAGCAAATAAATGCTAAAGTAAAATTAACTATTGTTGGCTTAATAATAGAATATTGTTATTTTTACAATAGTTGCAGTTGAAAAGTGGCTTATTAAAACAAAAAGAATCCTATTTTGAATCTATATGACTGAGTATTACTGAAACAACAAAATGCAATATAATTTCAACCGGAATTGTTAGTTTAAATACAACTAAAGTTTTTTTTTTGGTTCAATGCAAACAATTTTCTGTCCGTGTAGTGGGTTAAAATATACCCATTATGCAATAGTGAACTGATTCTTTAAATGAGTATTTTTTCTCCCATTGTATGATTTTTAAATTCCCCCATTTTTTGACAGCTGCATACATGGTTTGAAAATGGGTATTTTTTACCCATTAATGTTTTTTCACGAAACACCGTGCACTAGTGCTAATCGCAGATGACGAACCCGTGGTAATTGAAAAACAATAAGAGTGCTCACCGGTTCCCATTAACCCTAAGAGAAGAGGTGACAATTGGCGTTGACGGCGACTCTGTAGCTCTTTACTCCAATGGTAAAATCCATAAGCAAACGTCAGACTGTGCGTGAAACATGGCGGACTTCGTACTATCTTTTCACTCCACTAAAAATTCGTATAAGAAACTGTCAATCTTTGCTAGAAGAGACGATTTTTCGGCGGTGCCGTCAACGCCAATACGGGGGCGAAAATGAACCACTTTTCTAAACGTGAACCAGCTCCTCATTGGCCGATTTCATGTGCGTAAGATAGAGATAGAGATAGATAAAGATAGAGATAGAGATAGAAATGAAAGATACCTTACATTAATGGTTTAGTTGTGTTCTCCTTTTTTTAACTTTTTATTTGTTCCAAATTCAAAATAAATTACATTTCATTTTAACCTAGGTGCTCCAGTTACTACAGTAACTTACCAGCCTTAATTGTTATGATATTAATCTAAGTGTTTTTACATTGTTCCTGCCTTGGCAATTCAGTATTTTAAACAGGTTTTTTAAACCTGCATGTCAGTATAACAATTGATATCTTAAAACTAAAAACTAAAACTAAATCTTATCTAAGTATAAAGGGAATTAATCATTGCAATTGAGGATTGCAACGATTTTTGCCTGAAATTATTAATTATTTTGTTGGACATTTGTTCTAAAGTCTCAACATTCGAAATTCTATGCACCTCAGTAGTACCAGGGAGGCAACTTCAAAATCATCTTCAGAACTTTGTTCTGAATCCTTTGAAGTGCTTTTTTTCCTGGTAGTGCAACAACTAGACCATATTGGCCATGGCAGGTCTAAAAACTTGTTTAAATATTAGAAGTTTATTCGTCTGGCAAAGTTTGGATTTATAAGGTTATAAGGAGGTTATAAGAGGATACAAACATTTTATATATTTGTTACATTTGGCTTGAATGCCCTCAATTTGATCTTTAAAAGTTAATTTTTGGTCAAGTACTAATCCAAGATATTCCACTTGGTTTGACCAGGAAATTGGATCTCCGTTCATAGTGACTATGATACTACTACTAGGTTTCAAAAACGAAGCTCTAGGCTTATGTGGAAATATTATAAGTTGAGTTTTGGAAGCGTTGGGAGAAATCTTCAATTTTTATAAATAATAAGAGAAAATATCTAAACTTTTCTGCAGTCTGCTGCAAACAACACGAAGACTTCTTCCTTTAGCGGAAATGCCTGTGTCATCAGCGAACAAAGATTTGTGGCAACCCTGAGGTAAATCAGGGAGGTTCGAAGTGAAAATGTTATACAATATAGGCCCAAGAATGCTACCCTGAGGAACTCCTGCTCTAACAGGTAGTCGATTAGATCTGGAATGTTGATAATTTACCTGCAGAGTTCTGTCAGTTAAATAATTTTGAACTAATTTCATAATATAAAGTGGAAAATTAAACTTTTTCAATTTAACAATCAAACCTCCATTATCACCTGGAGCATAATTAATTTCATCTTTGGTTTGCAATGGAATGTTTGTATCGAAGTTATGTTCCATAAATGTTCGATATTGCTCCCAATCAGCTCTATGGTAATTGAAAGTAGAGCTGTTGGGATTACAAATTATTTCTTGAGATATTTTAAAATTTACTGGAAGGTGATCAGAACCGAAGTCAGCATGAGTTACCAATTGGCTACAAAGTTGACATGAATCAGTTAAGACCAAATCAATAGTTGAGGGATTTCTTGCAGAAGAAAAGCATGTTGGGCTGTTTGGATATTGAATAGAGTAATAATCTGCAGAACAATCATCAAACAGAATATTACCATTGGAATTGCTTTGAGCATTATTCCATGAGCGGTGTTTTGCATTAAAATCACTTAGACCTATGACGGGTAAAATTGAGAAATTTTTTTTGCTGGCCTACGCATTGGAGTGGCAAATAGGCAGCTATAAATGTAAGTTGTCCAAATTTTGTTTCAACAGAAACTCCTGAAGTTTCAAAAACTTTGGTTTCAAATGAAGAAAGAATTTTATGTTTGATTCGTCTATGAACAATGATGGCAACGCCACCAGGGTCCATCAAGACGATCATTTCTATAAATGAAATAATTTGTGTCCTTCTTAACCTTATGGTCAGGTTTAAGGAACGTTTCAGTTATAACGGCAATATGCACGTTATGAACTCTCAAAAAGTTAAATAGCTCGTCTTCATTATTTTTAAGAGATCGAGCATTCCAATTTAAAATATTTAATGCTTTAAAATCCATTACTGAGTTTTAAAGTCATGACAATATTGTTTGCAAATTTTACTCCAGTTTGAATAACATCAAACATAGAGTTAGATTTAAGCATATCAGTAATCATGTCAATTAATGATTTCTGTAAAAAATCCATTTTAGTGGCAGTAATGCTTCCTAAGTCAAAATTGTGAAAATTTCCGTTAGAATTACGTTGGTTAGTATTTTTTTGATTGATTTTTAAAATCAAGTTGCAACGACCCATTTAAAATCAAGTTGCCCGAAATTATTCCTTAACCCTAATTTTGACTTCATGTGTGATTAAGCTGACAAATGCATCCATCTTCGCAAATGCAGGGAAGAAAAGAAAATGGACTTTCGTCAAACAGGAAATGTTGCGTAGGATCACAATCATATGCAAGTCGCGTGTCGCCATGAGAAGAGTAGTATATTGGAACTCGTTTTAGCATCAGCATTTCTGCGCAAACTTACAGGCGCGTAAACCGTTGTCTTCATTGTGTTTCCATCCGCCGAAGACGACGCATTTCTCCGTACCCATTAACGCGTGTATTTCAAGGTGCAATGGCGAGGATTGATTTCTTGTTATCTGTGGTGTGTCTTGCAGCAGTGCTTATTCTTCCCCTCAACAGTGCCATCGATCCAACCGATCAAATATGGGAACCAAAGTCGGCAGATGAATTGCGTAACTTTATACGTAAGTGTGCCTAATAAAATTTAGTGTCAAACTTTGATCTTTCGTAACGGTGTGTGAAAGTGGTAATCGATGAATTATGAAAATGAAGCAATATTGAGTAAAACATATGTTGTAAGCATGTGTGAAAGTGAAACATGCAAATTGTTTGAATAATATTTTCATTTTCTGCTCAAGCCGACATGGTTGGAATTTTACACTAGCTGATCAGATACTAATTTCATTTGGATATTAATAAGTTACATTTCTCTTAATACTCACTCATTGTGATGATCCTTCGCTACTTATGAATGTATATGTAATGTATATAGAGATTTGTACGTTCCAACTAAAACTTTAAACCTGCTCTCAACGTTGAGGTCTTTGAACCTATTAATTTATTTAAATAATTTATTAATCAATAAAGACTACATATTAGGGTGGTTCAATATATAGATATTGCTCCAACCTCTTATTGTATCTCACAAGTATAAAATATCATCATAATGATTTCATAACTCCGACATGAGTTTAGGGCGGATGAGCCGGTAATGGAGGAACTGATCAAGCTTGCAAATGCTCTTTGTAGCTAAAATACTATTTTTCGGAATTATGAAACAATGAAATATTATAATTATATTTTGTATTTGTAAGATACAAGAAGAGGATGTATGTGTATGATATACCTGTCAATTTTACATTCAGAGGGTCACAGTCAGCGATGTTATGATCGCTGAGCCCTCGCAATGAGTGTGAAAGTGAAATTGACAAGTTTTATGTGGCATTTTATGATTTCTTGCATCTTATAAATACAAATTATCATTATACAGTACCCCCAGTATTATGAATCACCCACAATTATGGACCACTTCCATTTGATTAATACGCAGAACTGACTGACTTATAATAGTGACTAGCTGGCCCATAATACTGGGGTGACTGTAATGTCTCATAGTTTCATAATTCTGAATTATAGTATTTTTTTTTTCTGAAATAAACCTTTGCAAGCCTGGAACTACTTAATACATTTTATTTTGTATAAAACAAATAATCGTTCTTCATACAATTTTTATGCGCCAATCTATGACTATATACTTATATTTTGATCTAGTAGTTGCAGTAGTTCCTAACTTTGGTTGAAATGCATTATTTCTTTATGGGTTTTCACTACCCTAATTATAGGTGCATAGCAGTATCTTATAGAAAATAATTTTTTTTTTTTTTTTTTTTTTAACTCTTTATTTGTTCCAAATTCAAAATAAATTACATTTCATTTTAACCTAGGTGCTCCAGTTACTGCAGTAACGTACCAGCCTTAATTGTTATGATATATATCTAAGTGTTTTTACATTGTTCATGTCTTGGCAATTCAGTATTTTAAACAGGTTTTTTACCCTGCATGTCAGTATAACAATTGATATCTTAAAACTAAAAGCTAAAACTAAATCTTATCTAAGTATAAAGGGAATTAATCGTTGCAATTGAGGATTGCAACGATTTTTGCCTGAAATTATTAATTATTTTGTTGGACATTTGTGCTAAAGTCTCAACATTCGAAATTCTATGTACTTCGGTTGTACTGTACCAGGGAGGCAACTTCAAAATCATTTTCAGAATTTTGTTCTGAATCCTTTGAAGTGCTTTTTTCCTGGTAGTGCAGCAACTAGACCATATTGGCACAGCGTAAAGCATGGCCGGTCTAAAAACTTGTTTAAATATTAGAAGTTTATTCGTCAGGCAAAGTTTGGATTTCCTGTTTATAAGAGGATACAAACATTTAATATATTTGTTACATTTGGCTTGAATGCCCTCAATGTGATCTTTAAAAGTTAATTTTTGGTCAAGTATTAATCCAAGATATTTCACTTGGTTTGACCAGGAAATTGGAACTCCGTTCATAGTGACTATGTGACTACTACTAGGTTTCAAAAACGAAGCTCTAGGCTTATGTGGAAATATTATAAGTTGAGTTTTGGAAGCGTTGGGAGAAATCTTCCATTTTTGTAAATAAGAAGAGAAAATATCTAAACTTTTCTGCAGTCTGCTGCAAATAACACGAAGACTTCTTCCTTTAGCGGAAATGCCTGTGTCATCAGCGAACAAAGATTTGTGGCAACCCTGAGGCAAATCAGGGAGGTCCGAAGTGAAAATGTTATACAATATAGGCCCAAGAATGCTACCCTGAGGAACTCCTGCTCTAACAGGTAGTCGATTAGATTTGGAATTTTGATAATTTACCTGCAGAGTTCTGTCAGTTAAATAATTTTGAACTAATTTCATAATATAAAGTGGAAAATTAAACTTTTTCAATTTAGCAATCAAACCTTCATGCCAAACACTGTCGAATGCTTTTTCTATGTCTAGAAGAGCAACTCCAGTTGAGTGGCCTTCAGATTTGTTTGAACGAATTAAATTGTTAACTCTTAAGAGTTGATGAGTAGTTGAATGCCCATGGCGAAATCCAAACTGCTCATCTGCAAAAATTGAGTTCGTATTGATGTGAAGCATCATTCTATTCAAAATTATCTTTTCAAAAAGTTTACTTATTGAAGAAAGCAAACTTATTGGACGGTAGCTAGAAGCTTCAGCTGGATTTTTATCCGGCTTCAAAATTGGAACAACTTTTGCATTTTTCCATTTATCAGGAAAGTATGCCAAATGGAAACATCTGTTAAATAATTTTACCAAGAAAGACAAGGTACTCTCTGGGAGTTTTTTGATGAGGATATAGAAAATTCCATCATCACCTGGAGCTTTCATATTTTGAAAATTTTTAGTTATAGACCTTACTTCGTCCAAATCAGTCCCCCAGGAATCATCAAAAATATTTTCCCGAGAGAAAATATTCAGAAAATCCCGAGCAACCTGATTCTCAATAGGACTAGTAAGACCCAAACTGAAATTATGGGAACTCTCGAATTGCTTAGCAAGTTTCTGAGCTTTTTCCAAATTTGTGATCAAAATTTTACCACCTTCTTTAAGCGCTGGAATAGGCTTTTGAGGTTTTTTCAAAATTTTTGTGAGTTTCCAAAAGGGTTTGGAACTCGGGTCTAATTTAGAAATATTATTTTCAAAAGTTTTGTTCCTCAGGGCAGAGAATCGCTTTTTAATTTGTTTTTGCAAATCCCGCCAGATAACTTTCGTGGCAGGATCGCGTGTTCTTTGATATTGTCTCCTACGGACATTTTTAAGACGGATCAAGAGCTGAAGATCATCGTCTATTATAATTGAATCGAATTTAACCTCGCATTTTGGTACTGAGGCAGCTCTTGCTTCAACTATAGAAGTAGTCAGAGATTCAAGAGCATAATTAATTTCATCTTTGGTTTGCAAAGGAATGTTTGGATCGAAGTTATATTCCATAAATGTTCGATACTGCTCCCAATCAGCTCTATGGTAATTGAAAGTAGAGCTGTTGGGATTACAAATTATTTCTTGGGATATTTCAAAAGTTACTGGAAGGTGATCAGAACCGAAGTCAGCATGGGTAACCAATTGGCTACAAAGTTGACATGAATCAGTTAAGACCAAATCAATAGTGGAGGGATTTCTTGCAGAAGAAAAGCATGTTGGGCTGTTTGGATATTGAATAGTGTAATAACCTGCAGAACAATCATCAAACAGAATATTACCATTGGAATTGCTTTGAGCATTATTCCATGAGCGGTGTTTTGCATTAAAATCACCAATAATGAAGAATTTAGACCTATGACGGGTAAGTTTCTGGAGGTCACCCTTGAGAAAATTCTTTTGCTGGCCTACGCATTGGAATGGCAAATAGGCAGCTATAAACGTAAGTTGTCCAAATTTTGTTTCAACAGAAACCCCCAAAGTTTCAAAAACTTTGGTTTCAAATGAAGAAAGAATTTTATGTTTGATTCGTCTATGAATAATGATGGCAACGCCACCACAGGGTCCATCAAGACGATCATTTCTATAAATCAAGTAATTTGCGTCCTTCTTAACCTTATGGGCAGGTTTAAGGAACGTTTCAGTTATAACGGCAATATGCACGTTATGAACTCTTAAAAAGTTAAATAGCTCGTCTTCATTATCTTTAAGAGATCGAGCATTCCAATTTACAATATTTAATGCTTTAAAATCCATTACTGAATTTTAAAGTCATGACAATATTATTTGCAAATTTTACTCCAGTTTGAATAGCATCAAACATGGAGTTAGATTTAAGCATATCAGAAATCATGTCAATTAATGAATTCTGTAAAAATTCCATTTTGGGGGCAGTAATGCTTCCTAAGTCAAAATTGTCAAAATTTCCATTAGAACGTTGGTTAGTATTTTGATTTCTACCCGCTGCAATAGCAGCATAGGTAGCTCCATTAACTCGCTGAACATTGTTAGCAGCGAGGGGAGTAGGTACAGATGAAACATTTGAAGCAGGGGAGATATTTGTACCTACGGGTACGAATGTAGAATTTGTTCCTCGCTGACCGTTGTTAACAGCAGAGGAATTTGTACCTGGTCGGAAACGTGGAGCGTTTCCTACCTGACGGTTAGAACGAGATTGTAGGATCGCTTTGCGAGTCTTACATTCCCAAAAATTGGATTTGTGGTTTTCACCACAATTTGAACATTTAAATTTCTTAGGATCTTCCTTCACAGGACAGTCGTCCTTTGCGTGAGAGGAATCACCACAATTCATGCATTTAGCTGGCATGTAGCAATTTTTAGTTCCGTGACCCCATCCCTGGCACTTACGGCACTGGGTGAGGTTTTGGAAATTTCCTCCAGTCTTCCTGAAGTGTTCCCACTTCACTCGGACATGGAGCATAAGGCTAGCTTTTTCTAAGGCCTTAAGGTTGTTTAGTTCACTAGACTTGAAGTGAACTAAATAAAAATCATTAGAAATCCCGTTGCGCGAATCGCCAGGACGGGATTTCATTTTCATTTTGATTACTTGGAGTGGCACAACTCCAAGTAATTTTGCCAGTTCATCTTTGATCTGATCCAGGGATTCACCACTGGGCAGTCCTTTCATGACAACCTTGAACACACGTTCAGTT